GAGCCTTCAGAACATTATTAAAGCTATAAATCATACATCACTGTTTTAATTTGCATAGCTACAGAATTGCTAATGGTCCCACGTGCATATGTTACTTGGCAATTAGTCTTTTTACAAACTGTTGGTGATACCGGGGGGTTACCAAATTCTTCCACTGCTCCTGGACGTGCGCGCACAGCCCAAGGCCGGAAGATGAACCAAAGCTGCTTTGGAGGCCTGGATGCAGAAGCCACCGTTCAGAGCCTTTTCTGGCCATTTGCAATCACATCTGGACAAGAATTTGGGGGGAGGAAGCTTTAAAGGGATTTTGGCCTCCACATCTGCAGTGTAAGCCGCATGTTTTTAAACTTCCTGAAGTCAAGCAAGCCTCTCGTGTCACTTTTGCTGTGCAGCCCCTACCCCTATCCTAAAGGCCGCTGGCCTGACCACCCTTCATCAGCCACCGCATTTGCCGCCTGCTGTTATGCTGCATTTCCACCGAGAGCACCGACTTCCTTCTGGTCCTCTGCTCCCGTCGATGCCTGAGCTCCACCGGCAGCAGCGACCACGAGCGGAGCGGGTAATGAGCCATGCGAGTCTGAAGTCTAGCCAAAGACAGGGTCGATATGCACCTTTTACACTAACTAAGATCCTATATATATATTAGGGAGAGCATAAGCTTGCATCAACTCGAGCTCAACTTTATCAGCTGCTTCCATGTCACAGATAACAACACCACCATAAATCTTCAACCGTCTTTTACACCTCCCAGGGCTCATAGATTTGCAAGGATTTGATGGGCTCGATGAGTTCATCTCATGCCAGGGGGGTTTCCTGTATTCATCCCTACTTCAGGTTCAGCCGTAGGGCTGGGGGTTGGCTCCTACTATCACAGCAGGATTCAGGCAGGATCGCTGTAGTGTTTCTTCATCAAAGTTTTACACCAGCTTCCACCTGTTATAGCCACGACAGCCGGGCTGCAGAGGAGCAGCTGGAGATATGCCCGGGACGGTGGGACCTCAGCACACGTGAGGCTTTGGCAAAGGAGACGAGGCCGCTGGATCCCGACGACTACGACGTGAAGCAAACACCGGTCTGTTTGCAAGCAGAGGCCACGTGTTACTGAGGCAATGGGAGGCAGTCGACATACAAAGGAGTTTTGGGGTGGACGAGCAAGCTCCAAGTCCTGAACGGACTAAAGCTGGTGCAACATCTCTCCCCACGGGGAGTTAAGGTGTGTGCACAATACACACACTCGCAACACGCACTTCTACTCCCCCAGGGTCTTCCTGCTTCTGCAGAGCCACGGCCACCGCGGGCGACGGTACCCAAGGTGGAGCCCTGACTTCGCAAACACCACGCGCCAACATCCCGAGAAGCTGTCATGATGCTGCCGTTCCCAGCAGCTCCCCGACGAGGATGCTAAGGTAGCACCGCTGTGTTGTGTCGCATCCATTGTTTTTAAAAAATGGTCTCCGCGGGGGGTTGCAACAGGACATCTAACATCTATGAATCTAAGGACGTAGTGAATACAGGTCGTGGGTTTTGAGGGATGAGCACCCCCCAAGCCAACGCCGCGGAGGCGACGGCTCTCAACAAGCCCCATTTCTTTAGCAAAGGAGCACCAAGGCCCAGTCTGCGTTCCCACTTCTGCAGGTTGGCTCGCTCGCTCGCTCTGTGCATCAGGTGGAGAGGCGCATTAGGAAGGAGGAGGTCACCTGGGCAGGGCTGGCTGCGGGCAAGGCAGGCCATCAGCTGGAGAAGGTGGAGGCGACTCCTGCCAGGTAAGAGAAAGTCACCGCTGCCCCAGCCTGCCGGCACGGTGCCAAATCCCAGCGCTGTCAGACGAGTGTGCACATCCTCTCCTGGCATCTCGCTCAGCCTGAAGGGCTCTGGGGCCCAGCAATGCAGCCCGTCTTCGCTCTGCTCACGACCAATCCTGCCCCAAATAGTGCTGCCCTTCCCTTGGTCAGAGGCAGCCTCTCCTCTCTGTTGCGGTGGCCACATCTTGGTGGCCCGGCTCCCCAAAGCGAGCCGGAGCCCTGTTGCCCCTCCCCAGCACTTCTCCCTGGTACCTCGGGAGAAAGGATGCTCGTTAGCAGCGATAAGCCTGCTCCAGCGAGCCGACAGGTTCAGCAAGGAGCCATGCGTCCTTGTTTCGGACCAGAATACAACAGCAGTTCTCGCGCCAAAGGTGTCGTTTGCACCTTGACGGAGTTTCGGCGCTTGCAGCAATGGATGTGCTTTATTAACCGAGACTTTCTTGCATGCACCGGAAAACTTTCCAGGAGCTTCCTCTGAAGCTCATATTGAGGCTGGGGGCAGCAGCCTCTCCGAGAGCCCTCGCGTTGGATATGGTGACAAACGCCAGATCTTTGTTCATTAGTTTACCAAGGGGAAGAGACACGGGGCCGGGGCAGAGGACAGCTCTCAGAGCAATTCACACTCCGCTGCACTAATATTTACCGAGCCTCACATGCTTCGAGACAGCTCAGTCCTCTTTTAAGGGGCTGGGTTTTTAATTAAAGAGCGACCGAAGGAAGGGTGACTTCAGAGCATTTTAACCCAACAAAGAATGACAGGCACGATGCTGCTTTTAAAATAAATTAATTAATACCCACTGTCTGACTCTATAAACCTGTCATTGCAGCAGAAGCGCGGTAGCATCCACCCAGCAGATCCCACGTCACACAAAGCAAAGGCTGTTAGGATACGAGTCGCGCACGGTCAGGTGCTCCTGGCAATCGCTCCAAGTTCCTACGTGCATTTGTACCTCCCGGCTGGTTTTTAAGGCCGGCTCGACAGAGGACAGAGGGTTGGCCTTTGCAACTCATGGGCTCCATCCACTTTTACACAGCCATAGCAGGTCTTGGTTTGCAGAGAAAAGGACACCTGCTCCAAACTCCTGTCTCGGGGCTGGAAAAACCTGGTCAGTATTTGCAGGCAAAGCCAGGCCGTGGCAGGTTACGGAAGGGAAAAGGGCCGATCTAGTCCGGCTGAGATTTCCAGCAGGGATGGAAGACCGCCGGTACAGGTTTGCAGGCGTGCACGATGCCGCAGAGCTGACACCGTCGGGGATCGTTGCACAGGGGCAAGCGGAGCATCTGCCCACATGCAAACTGACCCGTCCACCCCAGTGCATGGGTGTGCGGTGGGCGCCCGCACAAAATGAGCGTGCACAGGATGTCCCTAGCCGTGTTTGCAAATTTGGAACAAGGCTGTTAGCCCTGAGGCTACCAGGATGCACGGGTGTGTGGAAAACCCACAGGGGACACATTAACCATTAGCACTTGATGAGGGGTTTTTCCCCCCTTCCTCAACAAAGACATGATACTACTTCACACCCTGCATCATAAATACAATTCAAAAGTGTATTAACTATATTAGAAAAAACTTCATGTTACAACGGGGCTGAAACCTAAGCTTCGTAGACTGACTAAAGAGACCGATCAATCCCCGAATCCCTGTTCCGAAAATACCGCAGCCTCCAAAAGTGGGATTTTTTTGAACCAAACGTGGCTGAGGCTGCAACCACTTCCCACCCTCTGTGGATAGAGCCTGGCAAACTTCCCCGCTTCATCCAGCTCCTCCTTGTTTTGCTCGACTTCTGGACCCTCCGGCCAACTACAAATAATTCCTTCCAAATAACTTCCTTCCATCACTGCGAAATCCCAGGGCTGGCACCTAAATCTCGCCTCCTTTTCCAGAGCAGAACACACTCAAAAGCCATCGGTGCATCTCCCGTCCGAGATGCTCTCAATCTGCCTCGAATGCATCCTCTTCAGTGCAAACATACCCTGCCCGTGTTGCACGCTCCTGGACAGCGCGCACACTCTCGCAGCCACCTGAGAGAGAAGCGGTGCCTGTTGTTTGACATTTTCACCATTTGCTAATGCAGCCTGGTATCCTGTTTGCCACCTTTCCTGTTGCCGTCTGTTATGCTACTAAGCTGATGGGCTCAGTTTTTCCACGCAAACTCCCACATCCTTTTCCTGACCAGCACGCTGGATTATTGTTCCACTTAACACACTGGATCTCAGGCATTTGTGATGGAAAAAGCCTGTTACATCATTGAGTCTATCTCCCTGCCAATGCTGGATTTAGTCTCCTGGCGGAGGAGATGTCAGAGGCCACTTCCTTACTCTTATTTTATGTACAGGCAGTTTGCTTTCTTTCCTTTTGGTGCCACTGTTTAAAGGATCCAGATCTTCTGATATCCTAGCACACGGTTCATCGTTATTTGCTCCACCTGTAGCCGCACAAACACCTGCAAGGCTCCATGGGCTTAATACCCTAATCTAGGTCTGAGACACACCGCGCAATACTTAATGCAGATGTCCAAGGTAACCCAATCACTAATTTCTTTCAAGCCTAAGAAGTATTCCCCGGTGACAACTGTTTCCAGGTATGTCTTCATACAACACCTATAATCATTGCAGTGCTTTGTCGTCTGTCCTGCCCGCTCCCCACTCCCATTTGATGCTTGTGTCACTGCTGAACAACCAAGGGTCACTGCTTTCCGTGCGGCGATTACGTAGGAGAGAAATAGGCTCGAGAGATTTAGTGTCATGAAAGAACCGGCTCGAAACCCCGGCAGGCTGAAAGCCTCTCCGTGTTCAAAGAGTACCGTCAGCTCCCGCCGCCTGCCCTGCCAACCCAGTCGCCTTCTGATGTAAAGGAAGCACCGGCAAGGCTAAAGGAGCACTTCAGTCCTAGGATTTCCAGTGCCAAGTGCAACGACGTTTTTCCTGCACCTCCCACTTAATTTGATAAGACATTTCAGATTGGTACCAACCTGGACTGCACCCGACCCCAAGACCTAAACTGGAAGTTTTCATGCTGCCCCCTGCAATGCTCCTGAGCTGTCCAGGAGGTCTCAGGTTGCAGTAAGGGAGGTTGAGAGAGTTTTCCCTAATATCCAACCTCACTAGGAGGGTGGTGAAGCACTGGAGCAGGCTCCCCAGAGAGGTGGTGGCATCTCCATCCTTGGAGGTGTTTAAGGCCCAGCTAGACAAAGCCTTGGCTGGGATGATGGCGTTGGCTTTGAGCGGGGGGTTGGATTAGATGCGATTTCCATCCAACTCTCATTTTCTATGGGTCTATGATCTCCCAGGGCCTGTGGCAAAAGGCAGTGCCGTGCTCTGCTGATGTTAGGCTACCTTAAATGCAAACGGAGCAAGTTACTCAAGGGCTGGCACTGAGTTTCCAATGAGATATAATAGCAGTTTCTCCCCAAAATGCCTCAGCAAGCTCCTTCCACTTACATAGTGTTCCTAGACTCAATTTTGCCACCTGCATAGGTATCACGTTTACCGAAGAAACTGCCGTTCCCCCCCGGCTGCGAGTCCAAGCTGCTTTCTGAACGGGTTCCTCCGCGCAGCTGGCTTCCCCGGGGCCGCCAATTGAATATATTCAGTATCGATGGGACATGCCAATGTTGTCGCTGGGGCTTGTTATATGGCGTGCGTCTCTTATTGCCGGCTCTGGGGCTGTAAGTATTCAGCACTAACTCACTGCTGTGATTCGAACCGGGGATTTCTCTTTCAGCCACTGCCACCTAGTGGGATATGAGAAGTCTTCTTGTAATAAAACCCCCTAGCAAAGGTTTCCAGCCCTCCTTCCCCAGGCAGAGCTGGGAAAGGAAGCAAACAGACAGGTGTTTGCAATCGACTTTAAAGATGCAGCGTGGAGTACAGCTGAAGTGCATCCTCTTGCAATGAAAGAGGTAAACAGGCAAAGCATCCTTCAGCCTTCCCCCCCATACAAAATAGTCTCACAAATTGATATAGGGGTCCCCGCGCCCCCAGGGTATGGCTCATATATCCCTTGTTTGAGCCTGCGCGCGGTGCCCAGCAGAGGCAATGCCATCCTGCTTGAGCTCTCGTCCCGTTCCTGTCGATGCAGGCACCTACCCTGGAGATCCTCAAAAGGAGACTGGACGCGCGCCTTGCTGTGACCCCAGCACGCTTCCCTGCCCAGAGCAGGGGGGCTGGACCCAATGATCTGATGAGAAACTTCTGTGAATTATTTGGCTTAAGAAGTTATTGACCACAAAAAAGAGTAATCCAAAGCCCTAAATGTTGCAGGGGGCTTTGTTTGAACAGTGCGGTTGCTAGTTAGAGGCATACCCTCCATACAGGGAGATGTGGACGCAGGCCCGGGCCAGCCGCTGGCACCAACTTCCTACGAGGTGAGCCGCCCCGCTGCCCAGCTGCGTTGCATGAAGCCGGTGACCTGGAGAAGACTCCTCTCGGTTGCTAGTGACACAATAAAACAAGGGTGGGGAGGCAGTGGCAGTGCCAGAGTGATACAGAGGCAAGCAAATTAAATGCGATCTCAATCTATTACGCTCGAGAGCCGAAGCCCAGCAGAGACGACTAGCCCACCGAAGAGATTGGTGGTGATATTAAAACCATCTGTTTTTATATTTGCCAGGCACTGAACAAAGCACAAGGGAAGGTGATAGAAGCGCAAGGGACAGGCAAAGGTCACGGAGACAGCTCCTCGCTGCAGCCCTTCTCCGCGGCACCCAGCAGCTTGTAACAAAAAAAAATCACCATCCTTTAATGAAACCTTAAGTTTCTGGCTTCGTTGCTAAGAAAGAAAAACTTTGTGAACATGACCCAGCGCGCCGCTGTCTCAATACATCTGAAAACAGGGAGGAGGTGGCCACTCACTTGCAATCAGCCTAATTGGGCTGGATCTTCTGCTCAGATCAGGTGCTCCTGCTATTTGTTATCCAGTTCATATCTGCTTTTTTATTAGCTCTGAAACATGCCATTGAAAAATATGACCATTGTTGAACTATTTTGCTGTTCACTGCATTTAGCAGAAATACCCCCCTACACACACACACACACACACACACACACAGATTAAGAGCAGGTGCTGAAGGCTACCTCTTTTTCCCCAACCTGACTCATGAACACAGAGTGGAGATCAAAACATGCTTATTCGGTAAAATTAATATCTCATTTGCCATAATTTGTGCAGTTCTGACCACAGTTCAAGGGGAGGGAAACTTCAGGGACTGAAAAACAAAGCAAATAATCCCAAATTTTAACAAATGTATTTTTTTTTTCTGAAAGAGGTTGCTATAAGTAGGTAGATAGGCAGGTAGCTCTGTCTTCTTGAATGCCTTATCTATTTGCAGACAAGGTTCCTTGGGTGAATTTGATATCTTTTATTAGACCAACCCTATTTGCAGCACTGTCACACTTGTCTTTACCCGCAGTTGAAGTCAGGACTATTGCAATTCATGTCTGCTCTTCCTGCTTCAAGGCTGCAGTGTGGGAAGGTGTTGGAGTGCTTAAGTTAAGCACATGCTAAAGTAATTTCCCTGAAGTCAATGGACACTGCCCGCGTGTTGCAAGTGGAGGGTGCTGAACTGAAGCCTGAAAGAGCATCGTATCTGCGGAGAAAGAACGGGCTGCACGGGTGCTGACAGCTGTAACTCAGCTCGCAGGACTTGCAGAGGTGGAGCCAGACCCGCAAAAAAGAGAGCCGACTCCTTGCATAAGATGGGGAGTTTCTGGGAGGCGATTACCTTGATTACCTGCAATGCTTTTTAATTTAAATGAAAGTCAGTGACCTGGAGTGCTCACTGTGAACCCAGCCAGACTCGCATCATTCTCCTATTGTAAGTTACTGGCTTTTTACTGGAGTTTTGTTTCCCCCTCCCCTCCCAACAGGCCCCAACTTTGCAATAATGAAATAAGGTTTTTAACAAATATGCAGCTATCTGAACTAAATGGCATGAAAGCAGAGAGAGAGAAAGATCTCTGAAAACACCACAGTCCAGCAGCTCCTCAAAGGATTGACAAAATCAATACAGACAGACCCAGGGCTTTGTCAAGTACCTGAGGCCAATAGTAGACTATGGATGGTGGTCTTAATTCTGCAAAACACTTACACCCGTAGGGTATGACAGGTGCTTAGGTACCCAGCTCCATAAGGCCTTTTAGGAGTAAACAGCACAAGCTGGATGATGCTTAATAGTCTTGCTTATGGTCTGGAGCCTCAAAAGCAGGTAACTGATGGAGGAAAGCCAGCAACAGAGTCTCTCTCTCTCTCTATATATATGAAACCTGTGCATCCCCAGTGGCTGTGCAGTTGCAGTGTGGACAAACAGACCTTTATAGACTCCACCATTTTGCTCCATATTTGCACAGCAGAGCCTCGGGCACTGCCTTGCAGGGAGTAGCTGAACTCGCATAACTAGCTTCTTTCATCCCAGGGTATCAGCGTGCTTCACAAACAGTATGTACCCACATCTCCATTTTGCAGTTGGATAATGGATAAACCATAGAACAAGAAGGTTAGAAAGGCTTGCCTGAATCATACAAGTCAACTGCCGAGCTGGGACACGATGGTCTCTACTGCCAGTCTTCTACTCAAACCACCGGGACAAGAAACACACGATTCCCTTTACGGCTCGTTACACAAATTAACAAAGCACCAAGAAATAACCTTCAAACTACCTGTTACACCGAAATATTTATTGCATTGCAGTTTCAGCACTTTGTACACAAATATTTCTCTCTCAAAAGCATAGTAATGCAAATTCAGTTATATTCATAGAAGCAATTCCTTCCAAGAAATAATACAAAGATCAGGAAGACAGAGATCATTCGAAGCAAGTTATATGCTCATCCATGACGGTTTTACCAGATCACGGTTCTTCAGGCATCAAGTAGAAATCTGCAGCCAACCCAGGTCTAGCCACGTACAAACAAGTCATTTCAAGACTCGAGTGCATGAATACACCTGACACCTGCACGTTTCTAGTGTGCTGAGACACAAGGCTAAAGGTTAAGTGCTGGAAGAGGGCAGACGCTCTGGAATCGATGCATTATGGTTTTGATATTACTATGCAGCACTTGTGAAGTGCTAGATCCTCACAACGCTCTTGTGAGATAGGCAAGTATCGCCCTCGTCCTAGAGATGTGGAAAGCGAGAGAGCACAGAAGCGACTTGCCAAAGCCATACAGAGAGTTTATGGCAGTTGTGGGATTACAACTCGTCAGCACCCAACTCTCACTCCTGCATTTGGCGGGGTAGCGCATGCCATCTCCTTAGGTTTCAGTTATATAGCTATACACATTTGCAACCGGTTAATAAGTCCCAATCCATGCAGTTATGCCGGACGCATGCAACCATCTGAACGAAGGTCAGCCCGTCAACTCCCCAAATAATGCCCCTTTTGGTTTTTAAAGAAGTTGAACGTTTCTCTCCATTCCTAAAACTTAAAACGATCTATAGAGTGGAAGATACAATGATACAGCTGCACTTTGCTCTGAAGCAGCAAAAATCAAAAGCGATTGCTAAAGGAGCCGGAGCAGCTTTCATTTTTTTTTCCTGAGGGAGAGCACCGTTCTTTTGAGAGGAAAAAAGGATGGATATGTTTTTACACAAACTGATCAAACTCCTCTTCACTCTAAACGAATACAAGACAGACTGAAAGTCTCAGGTGTACTAATTTTCTTCAGCTAAGTCGTCCTACTGTATACTATGAAGCTAGAAGCTAATAAAATAGCTATCCAGGAACATCAGAAGCCATTTTTCCTTCCTTGACAGCCTTTCACTTCTGTCACCTAAGAGCAAGAACACTTACGGTGACATCTAAAGGGGCTTGTAAACATCAGGAGCCGAGCCATCTGATATTCCTCCACTCCAGCAGGCCCTTCTCCTCCGCCCCCAGGAAACGAGTAAGAATCACCGAGACTCCAGCCTACCCCAGTGCAAAAGAGAGAGGTTGCTTACCTGGTTTTTCTTCTCCCAACAGGGTTTCCTCTGCAAATTTTGGAGGCTGAATCAAATATGCCAGTTAGCATGGCAGGGCTTGGCTGTGCCCCCCTAGAATCACTGCATTTCATGCGCTGTAAAATATGCAGAGAGCTAACGTCATGGAAGTATCAGAGTTCATTTGCTCCCTTAGTTGTCCCTGCATTGCCTAGTGTCAACCACCCAGCTTGGACCAGATTATGTTAAAGCTTGCAGGCAACAGCTGGGGAGTTATACAAGTCAAAGAAAACCAGTTTTATCAGGTAAGAAAGCTGCTCTCCTCTCTAATCATGGCTAGCTTTCTCATCATCCAGTACAGGACTGGGGCAGTCAAGAAATCCCAAGGCTAGAATAAGGGCAGATGCAGAGCTATCCAGGCAGGGAAGCCTGGGGGTGGGATACCTGCAGCAAACAACTGGACTTTGGGCATTTGTTCTCTCCTAGTGAACTTCAACCCCTTTGCTTACATCCAGCAGCTGCCATTTTTGTCTTGGGGTCCAGGCGTCAAGTCAGAAGAAGGGAAATATCATCTTACGCCTCCAAAACAGGGTGTTTCCTTCAAGGATGATCTACACCTTGAGAGAATGGGACTCGCCGTATTAGCTGCCCAGGCTGAGCCCCTACTTTCAAAGTATGTAGCAGCCACTCGTCTTTCCCGCAGCGGTCAGACAAAGGGCCTGGACAAGGTTTTAAGGCACTGTAACTGAGTGAAGTTCCCATTCCTTTCTGATGGAAGTCCAAAGTTACCCTTGCCCCATGCCCCAACTCCTGGCATTTAACAGTTTCGGTAACAGGAAAAAAAGCCCCAAAATAAAGGAGAACAAACCTCAGATTAAAGTCTCTCAAGCTTATGAGTTGGGAAGACATCGCAGGGAACACTTCAGTCCGCTTCTGCCTCCTCCCTGGCAGAGCACTCCAGACCCAACTGCATGGCCCTCAGCTAATGCAAATGAGACACACCTGTCCTGACTTCTGCCTGAACATTTCCCCTTCAGGCAAGGCTCAAGCACCTGGTAGAAGTAGGACACTGAAGAGGTAGGAGCGTCCTATGCCCTGCTACAGGCAGCTATGCAGCCGGGGAAGCCTCCACGTGCTTGCTTCTCTGAGCCCCTAAAAACACGCGTTCCTTAAGAGCCTCTCAAGGTGAGCCGACATTGCTCCCATGCAGGGGACACCTTGCTTACCCTGACACCCGTCTGGCGTGAAGGCCCAAGTGGCTGCACACTGAATGACCCTGGGGAAAGCCCTCCAGCCCCATGTGCTCCCTCACACCTGCCCACAGGTGTATACTGAACACGTGGGTTGGTCCCAGACTCCTCTAAAATAGCTGCTATCAAACCAGGAGACTGAAGAAAAACCTGTAGCCTCGAAAGAAGAATTTCCCCTTGGCAGGATGCTCCCAAACCTCTTTTCTATTGTCTGTAACAAGGGAAATATGTCTCCAAGCCTTTAACACTTTTCTTTCATGATCTCCCAAAAATGATCTGCCCGCGTAGTTTGCTGGTATGCTTAGATAGCCCCTTCTCAGGAATACACCTACAACTGCAACTACTCAAGTGCATGCCATTAGATTTTGATGCAAATCTCAAGGAGTACATGCATGACCTGAAGAGGATTTTGATTACGAAAGTCACCTAGTGTGCACTGACTTCACATCTCCAATTAGTTGATTTTTGGCCATATCCCCTCCATGCTGCGATATCCTTTAAAAGCCAGGCAGAACAGCTAAGTTTGCATACCGACTTATGATGCCTTGTAGTCTGATCTTAAAGCTTGCTCCACTCTGTGATCCCTGCGGGAGGGATATTTGTCTAGATCAGAACAAGACCTGATAGCATTTGAGGTGAGGAGGGAGCTATTCCTACCAACAGATCGGCGCCTGCTTCCAACATTTGTGGAGCCCAGGGAAAATCCACAATCAGAAACAGTGACCCTTGTCCTCGTGGGAGAATGAACGGCTCAAAAGAGACAGTAAACACACACCTGCATTTTCAGTGAGAGGGAGGCAGGAAGGGAGTAGCTCTCTCTGGTAATCAGTGAAAATCTTTAGGCAGCAACCTAGACAGAGGCTAGCCTAATTGGAGGAGGATGTGAAAACACTTGACACTTTCTACCACAGTTGGCCACATTCCTTCAGAATAAGGAAGCTGAATGCTAGAGCCAGGCTTAAGCACCGTCTGGCATGCTGGAAGGAAACCATTACTGCCCTTTCCACAAAGGGAACCAAGACCATGGTACCCATAACCATATTTAAACACAGAAGTTGCCAAGTAGGGTTATTCTTACTCCTCTCTTTCCCCAGGCTAATGACACGATCCTGATTTCAAACTATCCTTCCCAACCTACATTACAAATCTGCTTACTGACCCCCCTGTCTCTGCACAAGTGCAACTATAGCGAATGCAGTTCCTATCCCAGGTGATACAAGGCTTTAATTTAAGAGACCAGTTGTGCTTGAAAAGATGTTGTGGGTTGGGTTTCTGTTTTTTTCTTGAAGTAGGTTGTGTTGGCAATAAATAAATAAGGGATTACAACATATTCGACATTACTGTGACATCGCAGTTCAATTCCAGTACCTTTCATCACCAATACAGCTGATAGAAAAAAAAATCCATGTTTTCTTTGTATTTTAGGACCATTTCTAATAATTGCCAAGCTTTCCATGACACTTTTCTTAAGGCAGTGTGTTTCACACACCGTGTAGTGCTGCTATCCGATCATACAGACTGTTCACAGGAGCTAGACAGAGTGCAATCGCTACGCTCCTCCATCTCAGCGTATTGCTGATAGTCTAACCCCCAACTTTCTACCTTCACATTCTTGGTTTCCTAAGACCCCAGCAGCTCCTGCTGTTTGTTTATTATCTGAAGTTTTCGCACTGCCTGCTCAGTCTCATTTACAACGATGCTATGGGGACTGGCAGAAACAGTCTGCATGTAGGAAACAAAGAACTTAAATTGTGTGTCAAAACATCCTGGGAAGTGAAGAAGAATACAGGAAAGAAATATCTAAAAACAATGAAACAGAAGGAAAAAAAAAACAAAATTATTACCTTTTCAGAGATTTAGATGAGGTAGAGGAATTCATTCCAGGATTTCGCATTAGACTGCATTTACATAGAAACTTTTACTGGAAGTGCTAAACACATACAAAAGAAACACACAGGACCATTGCTGACTAAGATTCTTGCTGAGTGACAACCAAATTATTATGAACCAAGAGACAAGGTTCATAATAATTGGCTTGAAAGATGGATTTTAAAATAAAAAAATGAAAGAAAAGGTGGCGAAAAGGAAGGAAATTCCAGATACTTGGTGCTACAGCGGAGAAAAAAAAAAAGAACATTTTTAGAAACAGCAAGGAGATAGTAACAGGGATCAGATAGGAAAGTGAGGGAAAACAAGTAGAGGATACAGCAATTCAGGCATTGAAACAAGAGCGTAAGAGAAGTTTAACAGACAACATGAACGATGGGAATCCCATGAAGTGAAGAAAGGAACAACACGAAGGGTTAGGGGGAAAAAATGTGAACTAGTTGCTTGGTACTTAATCATCTAGGGTGTCCAAGGTGAAAATATGGAAAGAGTAAATCAACAGCAATGCAGAAATTAAGGCACAAACAAGCAGCTCGAGGTGAGGAGATTTACTAAAGGAGAAGTAATAAGCCTGCGGGTGTTTAGGAGGTGATATCTCTGGTTAAATCTTGTAGATGAGAGCGGACAGAGTTGCTGGACTGAAGTTCATTCCAACATCTAGACTGAAGGCAGCATCAGAGAGTGAAAACAACGGCAGTTGAGCTGAAGGAAGAACATTCATCTTAGTCGTATTGAATTTAAGGCAAGTGACTCTCATCCAAGTGGAAACAGAATTGAGGCAGGTAGAAAAAGAATTATGGGTAGAAGGAAAAGGAGAAACACCACTGAATGTCACCACGTAATTAGTCTAAACAGAGATAAATCGCATCGTGTAAGGGCCATGGTAAAAACAGAAATAGGGGGTAAAAGAGGACTCTCTTGGAGAGAGACTCATTATTAGAGAGGAAAAAGCAGAGAGATGATGAGCTCAGGCTACCCTAACAAATCAACCAGGTAAGAAGAAAGTCTCTGGAGTGCAGCGTCAGGAAAGCGTATGATCAGAAGCAAAGCAAAGAGTATTGCAGTGACAAACTCTCATCTGAAGTTAGGGACAGAAATGAAGCCTTTAGTTCCAGTTTAAACAACTGGAAATGCCTGTAATCAGCCAAGTGACCAGAGAGAAATTTGAACTGGCAAGGCGCAGAAAGAGCGTGCTGAGCAAATTACGTGCAAATAAGAGAACAAGCTTTTGCTCCAACATTTTAGAAAGCGATGCAGGATGGTATATGGGGCTGCAGTTGGAAGAGAGGGGAGAAGCAACAGAAGGCTTCTTAAGAATAGCAAAAACAATAACCCAAAAACAGGAGGAACTGTGCCTGAAAAGAGATAAGCATTTTCAGTGGCCAAAGTCTTGGTTCAGGCAGTAGAAGGCAGTTTTAGTCACAAGGCTACGCTCAATTATAAGAAATTATAGCACTTTTTTTTTTCTACTGAATTTGCAGAATCTTGCTGAATTTGGTTGGTTCCCAAATAATCTCCAGTGCCTGTGATTAGATTCCATTTCACTCAGTTGCTGCCATCCCTGGATGAATCTGAACTAGAGACCCACAGGCTTACTGATTAGCCATTAAGCCCCTAATTATCTGCAATGCCTGCATAAAAATTTTGAACCATCCCACTTAAAAACACCTGGTTCATGTGTCCAGAAACTCTTGTTAAATCATTTTCATAATTTACAAAAGTGTCAGGTATGTTCCTAACTAAAAGCAATGTGATTACGTAGTACTCGAGACAGGAGGATTATGCAGAAGTATGATAATATAACCAGTAAGTTTTGTGACTTTGTCATGCATAATGTATTACAAGATATATTATAACGCACTAAGGTATCCTTTCCCCTCCCCCTTGACCCATGAATAGCGTTCCGGACACATCTAATACTTGTTGTAAGGAAGGGAGCTGCTCTATAGTATGAGATAATTGGAATTAATTACATGAGTAAATGGGTGAAAATAAATTAGAGGTCCCACTGGGTATTCTAGCAGTTTCTGCTCACTCTCGATCTCAAGAATGGCTCCTGGAAACAGTTTAGATACACAGCAGCTCTGGCTGCTCTTCAGTGGTTTAGGTATGAACAAAGCTATCAAAATAAAGCTACTCTTTTGCTACAGTTTGGCTTTAATTTTTATACTTCATTAATTCGAAGCACATCTCTGAAGCTCAGTTCAGATGGAATTCAAAGCAGCATCATTTGTAGAGATAGGAAAGCATCACGAAGACTTGGATCCTATCAGACCTGCTGGTGAGGTGGTGCCTCTAGTGTCAACAGAGGGAACCTCAGAGGTGCTCAGTTACAGTACGGCTGTGCTCAGCACAAAAACTTATTTTAAAAATCTGACAAGAAAAGTACATCACCGTGTATAACGCTACAACAAGAAATAGAAAAGACTGATTTCCCAGGTGCTTCCTCCCATTATAACACTCGCAGAGGAACTCCAGGGAAGAAAGCTCCTGGACTGACATTGCTAAGTGCTTGCTGATAGCGTGGGAAGGCAGCATGACACAATGGGTAAGAGCACAAGCTTTGCGCTTAGAAGCAAGCACAAATCCTGTCTCAGTTCCCTGATATAAAGAGGAATTTTAGGTGGTGCTCACTGAGATGCCTCAGACCATATCACAATTCAGTCCTCGTTAGCAACAGGCTTGAACAAAGGGACTGGGGTGCATGGGCAAAGCTAGGCCTGGTAAAAGGGGAAACTCTGGATTCTTCATTTACTTGCATTTAAAAACTATTGACTTTGTCAGTGAAAACTGCTTTTGCAAAAACTTAGAGGAAGTAGAATATTTAGGATTGGGCACTCATTTTAGACTGTGTAAAATTACATGTTCTTGAAGTGGAACAACATTTTTGTTCCAAACGAAGCACCCTAATTTCACTTCCCGACACGCTTCCTGAAGCCCTTTAAAGGGACCAGGGTCCCTGCCAGATCCTGCCAGTTTCCCCTCGCCTCACAGAACTGAAGTGTCTTGCTGAATTTGTCCCAAGCCCCTTGACAGAGGTGTAAGACCGGCTGCTCTGGTAGCTACTGCTTCAAGATGCCCTGGCAAGACAGACATAGCAATTTCCCCTATCCTGTTACAATTAAAGAATGGGAATCTAGTTATAATACCATACTGCTTCACAACGATGCTTAGCCAGAGCTGTAGCTGTGATTCATGCTATTGATTAAATATACTGACTCAGCCCTGCCAAGTCAGTGCGCTAAGTGGACAAGCAAGACATTCTCTCCTCGGATAAATATCTGGTTTATGTGGCGTGTGAACACCTGCTGATAATCCACCTTGGGCCTCTTTTTTTTCCGGGGCTGGCTTCTTGCAGTGGTAGCTCCTGCACCAGTGCCCTCTGTCTGGGCAGTCCTGCCTGGCAAGTCAGCCTCGTTTCTGACTGCCAGAGGCAAGCTGTCACCTGCTGTCTTCTTTTCTCCACCTCTGCCCACGTGTTTCTGCGTCTCTCGCTCCTCTTCGGCTCTCCCCCATCCTGACCCAACTTTCCGCCCGAGCGGCTGGGGTTCGCTTGTTGTGGCCGTCTCCTCTGGCTCAGTCTTTGTATCAGCTCCCTTCTTTTCAGAAGACTCCTGTAGTTTGAGCCTGTCAAACAGCTGTAAGGGAACACTCAGTTAAGTGGCCACATTCAGAGAAACAGGCTTCTCATTCTCCACGCTCAAGTCAAATTTTGAGCATGTGACCAACAATCAGCATATGTAATAATGTATGACTGCTGAACAGCTCTTTTTACCACTGCAGTCACGGTTTTGGCATATCATGACTACCGAAAGCAACTATTTTTGTGGGCGATGTCTTTTATTAGACCAAATGCATCAAATAGACTTAGGCAAGCTTAGAAATGAATCTGACAATGCAACAGCACTGAAACTGGAAGAGATACTCCATTTTATGTCAGTACTTTGGGATTTGTGCAACATTAAACAGACAGCAGACTGGCATGTCAATCCCAAATAGACGGAAAACCTATCCTAGTATGGACTCGACTCCTTGGCTCGTTTTGTCCCTGTTGATAAACATCCTCTCATGCAGTTTGGGAAAACCACGAGCATGCAGGCTCCTACTCCGGAGCGATGCACAGGAGTGATGGTTTCGTGACACTGCAGGAGACAGGAAGTCAATATCTAACGCCAATTAGGCTGTTTTTAAAAGTGCCATCAACAGCCCAAACTGAACTTGTAAAATATAGCAAAAAAGCATTTTTGCTTCTCTGAGTTTTTCCCGTTCCAATAAAATCTGGAGTAGGTACATTTCAGACATAACCAGGACTTTCAGGTTGATGCTACATATTTCACCACAATGAAAAGTAAGGTATACAAGGCCAGTTAACATGCAGGCAGAAGGCTACCTACCCTGGTAAGTGTGAGCTGGGGCTCATTGTAGAATGCCTTCCCCAGTACAGGTTTTCTATACGTTTCGTCTACATCTGTTAGGGCCTGAAAGATAAAAAAGGAAAGTTAAAAAAGGAAAAATAAAAGAGGAAAACAGCTTTATAAACCATAATACACAGCTCTCTCATCTCATGGATGATCCATTCGAAGGACACGCCATGTTCTGGAGTAGATTTCCAAACAGCCAAAACACACTTGTTATACTGAGGTACAGAAACAGAGGAGCCACAGAGCCTAGTGGCAATTTCTACTCTATTGCCTAAATCTTCCTCTTCTCTTCAGGCCTAAACCTTTTTTTAATACCCCAAGATGACATTGAGTATTCCCACCCTGTTTCTAACCTTCTCTCTCACTTAGGGATCACAGTCCTGTAACGCCTCACTCCATTCAGTCTCTTTTTTTTGGAAATTTAGGGGGAGCTTCCCTTACCCTGTTCTGGTTTCGTAGCTGATACCTAAGAGAGGAAACTGAGGGGAAGAAGGATTAATAGAGCTTGAACGTCACCAGTGATTTACTTCTCCCCAAGACTGTACGCAACATCCAGCAATCTCAAACCACACTGCAGCCTCTGCACTTCTCGCTCTCTCCAGCATCTCCCAGTGCGCACCTAGGCTACAGCGCAGTGTAACAAACAACACTTCATCTCATATCTCATGACTAATAGCAAGATGCTAAATGATTAAATGGCAGAACTTTTTGTAAATGCTAGCAAATGAGGAGCTCCCTTCTTGACAGTTTAGTCAGGAAAAATGAGACTCAAAACTGAAAACCAGTGATCAGACTGTGTCCTTGTTGTTTTAATATCAGGAAATGGGATTCTCTTTTTAAAGAATCCTCCAAAGTACCAACTTGCCAGTCCACTCCCTGTCTGGCACCGATGTTTCCAATGCAGTAGCTGTAAATCAAAGAGCAGCACAATAGTTACCATATTCCAGAATTTGTCAAATGCGACCAGAAACCCCGTGCAGACACCACGCAGTCCTTTGAAAGTGCGAATATGGACGTTGATTTTCACGCCATCTCGGACACAGCGATGAAGCTCCCCAAGCGGGCTGCCTTCATGAACTAGAACAGATATCAAAAACCATTGGTCAGCATAGCGCATTTCATACAGAAAAAAATAGAGGGCCTGGTTTGTTTTAGATACCTAGCAAACCCTACCCCCGTGCTGTTCTATAACACAATAAAACAGGCATTCCACCGTGTTACCATGTATTACACACACCCATCTGTCATTCCCAATACAGAGAACCTCCATTTATAGTCAGATAACACAAATTATGATATAGGAAGGCCCCTTCTTAACACAGCTGAGAACTAAATGAGCCTTATCTATTAAGGACAGGAACTGTTTTGCTACATCTCAAAAACATCCACTTCTTCCCTTATGTTTTAGCATTAGGATTAAGGAACAGACTCCTAAAAGGGCCAGCAAAGCCATAACTGCCTACTGCGGTCAGGACACACATTCTCTGAAATGAATGTCACTGTTAAGCTAAAAAATTAGCCAAATTGTGCCAGCAAATTTTGGCACCTGATCCATTTACGGATGTGTTAATTCCCTTTATGAAGAGTCTAAAACAACAGATCACTAGACATTCTTTGATCCAATATCCTTGGTCAATCTAATATAATGAGAAATTCTTGTTTCAGCAGCTGACCACTGCAGTTCTCCTTGCCAGAGTGCCTTTCACACGGGACGAGCTGCCTGGATTAGCTGCACAGTATTTACCCCTGGGTTCTCCATCCCGTGACAAAGCAGCAAAAGGGCTGATCACCCAGCATGGAGGAGATTTGCTGAACTGCAGTTTTAACTCTTTGACCCACAGTGGACAGATGCTACAAACTCAGGGGAAAATCATACCTTCCCTGCCACCGCGTGGGCCTAGGCTGCAAGCACCAAGTTAAAAAGTGAATCACCTGCTGCACAGCTCCCTGACAACACAGTGGTAAATGTACCTAGGCAATGCCTCAACTACAATTTCACCCTCTGTTACCATTAGTGGAGCCGTTTCAATGACAACTACAGGTGGCAAGACAGCCAGAAAACCTTTTATTTCAGATGCCTGAGGAAGGGTCCCGCGATACCCAAAAGCTTGCCTACGTCTATACCAACCATACAACTGGTCCAATACAAGGTGATCATCACCCACAACACAGGATTTTTACATCTCGCATATTTCCTGGACCACGCTGACGACATCAGCTCAACGCTACCATGAGTTAGATGCGCAATTCCAACCTGCTCACACAAACTACACATTTAAAACCTCACATAATTGGGAATATATTTTAAATATACAATAAAGATGTACCCGATGGTGTAGCTTCTTATAAAAACCAACCTGAATATCTTCCTCATTTCTACCACCCCTCTCACTTACCAGAACACTAGGCATTTCAGCACCGGCAAGAAACATTGTTTTTGCATCACTTCTGCATCTATGGAAGACACATGCTGTTCCCACATCTTTAATTCCTGTCCTCAGTCTCCAACTTCATTTGATCGCAAGGGCAAAAAAACACATTATTCACAACACACTTCCATAATCTGACATTCGTTTCTCAGGAAACAAGCAGCAAGTCAGGTAATTCATCTCCGCAGAACATACCTGCCTTGCAAACATCAAAAAGCATTATACCCAGGCTCTGCATGCAACTATTTTTGCCCGTGGCTTTATCCACGGAGGTACCACTGTTGATCATCACTTTTTTCCATCAATGCAGAAGAAAGCTTCACCTAGTTAGCGACATCCTCAAAATCCAGGCCCTATTTGTACAAAAGATAAATGTACATTTAAATTTAATAGCTTTCTAGTAATCCCTTAGAAGGCAGGTATGGTGAGCTAGAGGGCAGCTACTCCAACCAAGAAAGATAAAACGAAGTCCCAAATTCTAGTGAAGTGTCTTTCCTTGGGGGTGGCTTTAGCACAAAGCACGTTCAAAAACAAGAGCAAGGCAACGAAGAACACTTTGCAACCGCCACCAGGTGCCTTTCCTGCTTTCAGCAGGCTGGGAGAGAGAAGTCACTTGCCCTTGCTGCCAGAAAGGCAACTTTATAGCAGCTTCTCCTCCGCTTTTAGTCTCACCTTAGATAACTTATGGAACAGGCAGGAAGCCTGGCTTCCCAGGTAGCCCTTTACATCACAGGGTGGGAACGATGGGGTGACTTCACCCCTGGTCACAGCTATCTATGAACACCACAGCGTGAACGTGCGGCACAGGAATATTTATCACAAGCCACACATCTACTAAAGCGCATCTCATCTGAATATCCACTTACTAACACAGACAGACCAGTCAGATACATGCAGAGAGTGTCCAGGACCCGGTGACTAGGACTTCATGAACTCGTATCAAGGCCCCAGCAAACTGCAGAGTCCCAGTATATAGTACATATATTGTGTGTGTGTATAAAATGTGCGTGTGTGGTTTTTTTATATTTTTATTTATATATAAAAAACACACACACACACACACATATATAAATATAAAGTGTATGTATATGTGTGTGTGTGTGTGTGTGTGTGTATATATATATATATAGAAAATGTACATGGTATCCAAGCTGTAACCGTATTGGTCTAGAGGAAAAGGCAATCAGGATGCATAGTAGAGATGATATCTTTTATTAATTAAAGAATTAAAGCAATTTTTTTGCAAAAATCTTGTTGGTCTAATAAAAGATATCATCTCTATCACAAGTCCCGATTGCCTTATATATGTACATAGTACAGTACATAGAAAGCACAGAATTATGGCTATAAAATATTCTTAAAATACACCATTTCACAGCTTCTCATACGTTAATTAAAAGGCGAGTTGCGTCACAATCTTCTTCAAAACCCCACATTAAGGAGTGATTGAACAAACATTTACAGCACGTTTCCTTTCCAAGCCATTTGACTTCTTTACTGGAGACATGAGCACTGCCCTGTCAGGACCGTTCCTTGCACAGACTTTAAGTCTGGCCCATAATTTTGCAACCCAGGTATCTAACATGAAGTCTCTCGACACACGTGTAGGCCCAACCCTGCTAGGAATCCCATGCGAACTGGCCTCAAGTGTTTGTGCTGAGCCTCCGTTATTTCAGTGGGATTGCCGGCACCGGGACTCGATGGGTTTCCAAGCGCGCGTCAACTCTACTAGCCTCGGCACTGACATGCCTAGATATGAACATGTACGTGGTAGCCGTGTTGGTCCGAGACAAAAAGACATGGAAAAAACTAGAACTCGTGGTTCCAAAATGATACCTTTTCTTAGACCAACTGGAAAATGGCAAGAAAATTGTCCTTTTCTGCAAGCTTTTGGGAACCTGACGAAGGGACTTGGATTCCCAAAAGCTTGCAGAAAAGGACAAAGTCCCTTCGTCAGGCTCTGGGAAACGTGTAGATGGTACAAGACGGGGACTTTTTACCATCTCGAACCATCTACACATTTCCCAGAGCCTGACGAAGGGACTTTGGTTCCTGAAAGGCTGCAGAAAAGGACAATTTTCTTGCCATTTTCCAGTTGGTCTAAGAAAAGGTATCGTTGTGGAACCACGAGTTCTAGCTTTGCGTACGTGTTGGATACAAACGTGGGGTTTTAGTTGTCGCCGTGTCAGTCTAAGGACATGGGCAGGCAAGGTTCACTGGGTAGATGCAATCTCTTTTATTAAACCCACGGAGTAGTTGGAAATTTGGGTAGACGCGATCTCTTTTATTACACCGAGTTGGTTTAATAGAAGAGATCACATCTACCCAAAGAACCTCGCCTGCCTAAACGTGAACACCAACGTCCAGCTTTCTTTCAGGCGATCACAATTTGCACTTTATTGACCACATTGAAGACAGGGGGGGCATGACACCACCCTCTCAGTGCTGGAAGTGCTACCCGGCACCCACAACAGAGGTCGTATTTATCAGCACCCCTTCCTCAGCACCGCCCCTCCCCCACACTCATCTCCCTCCCCCCAAACTGACCCCTCCCCCTCTCCTCTCAACTCC